TTTCGATCACCACGTAATTTTTTTTTTTTTTTACTTCAAATGATTGCAAACTCCAACCACAATTAGTTGCTAAAGATAATAGGATTCTTACAATATTCATTTTTGCAACAACAACAACAACAACAACATCAAGCCTTTATCCCACTACGTGGGGTCGGTGTTAGACCGGTCCACTGAACCGGTCTAGCCGGTCCAGGCGGGACCGGTTCACGGGCCAAGATCGCAAAATTAGGCGGAGATCTCCGCCTCCTGCGGAGATCGAGCGGCCCGACCAGCCGAAGAGATCATTTTAGGAAGCGTTTTTTAGCGTTTTGAGAGGGAAATTTGAATGTAGGGACTGTTTAGGGAATTTCTTTTGATTTGTATGCATTAAATAGTTATTTTTCTTAGGGTTTGGGCATCTTGAATTTGGCTGAAAATTGAGATCTCGTAGATTTAGGTTTCTTTGGGCTCTAGCGGCGTCTAGAGATTTGGGAGAGATCGATCCTCCTCTCGAATTGAGGATCAATTGTATCTTGCTCTTTTATTCATCGTTTAAGTGGAATACAAGTCTTTTCTTGAGTTTTCTCTCGTATTTTCCCGAACAAGTGCTGTTTTCCTGCTGTAAACAGCAGGAATTTGCTGTTTTTCCTGCTGTGGACAGCCATTTGGCTGCTGTTGGTTCGCCGATTTTGGATAGGTTGCTTGTGAATACAAGCACTTCCTATCAAAACCGCACGTCTAATATGCAACATGTGGATGGCAGCTGAAATCCTGTAAACTGAAAAAATTCTCGATGAGGACATCGTTAGAGATTTCGACACATGTACCATCAGGAGACGCCGGAGATCGACGGCCACGATCATGAGTTTTATTTTGAGTCATTTTATGTAGTAGTTTATTTTATTTTCAGTTTTTTCCGCTTTTGCCCTTATGGGTATTTGGTCGCTATTGTAGCCCAAGGGACATTTTAGTCTTTTGTTTTCTTTGTCATTTTTAGGCCTATATATATGGTCGTTTTCTTATGTAATAGTAGTTTTTGGGATGAAATGAAATTGGCTCTTTGTTCTCTTTGTGAGTTCATTCCCCCACGATCTCTTAGTGAGTTCGCCGGAGAAAACTAGATCTCTTAGTGAGTTCTAGCTTTCGAATTATCTAATCTTGTGGAAAGTCAACGTGGAGACAAGCGATGTTAGTAAATCCGCAGTCGTCGAAACCTTGAAAATTCCATCTCTTCTTTCCCCCCCTTGTCTTTTCCGCCGCCTACTCCAAGTAGCCCAAAGCCGCTGGCCACCCTGCCTCCATCTCCCGCCGGCCAATCCAGCCGCCGCCGGCCAACCTCCCGCCGGCCAGCCCTGCAGCCCCCCTTCCCGCCGCCTTCCCCATCTTTAATCCATAGCATTTGAATTTCAAACCCTTGATTAAACACTTTCCTAATTGGTGCCCCTTCATTAAGCGAGCCCATTAATGAAATTTAAGTCAAATTTGAATTTCAAATTTGATTTCCCTCTCATTATAAGGCTTGGGAAGTTACTTAATACTTAATTAAATTTGAAATAAAATTCAGATTTATTTCATTTATCTACTTAAACTTGGGCCCCACCCTCTTTACTCCCAAATTCCCCTCTTCTCTCCATGTGGCCGGCCACATTCATTGGCCGTCTTTCTCTCTCCTAATCACATTAATAACTCCACTAAATCAGCCCAAATCTTTCCCCTTTGCCGCCTCTCTCCCTCTTTGGCTTGATTTGAATTTTCAAATTAATTCTTCCCTAATTGCCCAAAATTCTGAAATTTATTTCAGATTTCCTGCACTTGTCTCTTGGCCCCCACCATAGTCGACTCCCCCCCTCTTCTCCTCTTTTGTTTCAACAAGTGGTCAGCTCAAGGACTCAAGAAGAGAGTTCTCCACATCCATGGACGGCTGATCCCGACATCGACAACGGCTTCGTCTTTGATGATCAAGGAAGAAAGGATAAGACATTGGATGCCCTCTAGTCATCCCATGGACTACCCGCCACCGGCTACCACTCCAACGGACTACACTTTGTGCGCCATTTGTCTCCTAGTGGCATCGCTCGGTTGCTCTCAATCTTCCTCCATTAAAAGTGCCACCAACAAGAGAGTGAGTGAGAGACCCAAGGTGAAAAGTTATATTTGTTAATTGTGGATTATTGTTCTCTCCATAACATTACTATCTAATTCTATGTTGTCAATTTGATATTGTCCTATTAATCTAGTTGTAACCACATGCCTTACTTAATTTCGACTTGATAATTCCGAGAACTTAATTTGGGTAAGCATTAATTCTATAACTAGCAAAGCTTTAATAATCTTATATTAAAATCCCCAAGCAGTTCTTGTTTCCATGCATTACGTTTCACATCAAAAAGCTTTTTTTTGTACTAGAAAGCTGCTTTAAGAAGCAGCAAAAAGCTGTCCCAAACAAAACCTAAGAGTGGATGTCGAAAAGATTCAAAAGCTAATTCAAGTGGATTATGATGGATGATAAAAAGAGAAGCTTATGAAACAGAAAGTTTCTAGAAACAAATTAATACATTTCGTGCATATGTAAATCTGATTATGAAGTCTTTCTTGCCATCTAGACCTGGCCTTTGGTCAAAGTCTCTTGCTACATGCTTAAGCATCTACACATCCAAATCACTCGAATACTTAACAGCGCACATTCTTTGTGGGACTTGGATGATTCTAAATCCTCCTATTCATGCATCTCCTGCAGGACTATCATTTGCTTATCAACTGTTATATTTGTTGGATGCTACTGGTTTCTTTACCTTGGGACTACATGCTCTTGGCATCCATGTATGTCGTGCTACAGGACAAGAACTGGTATGGAGTATGTAATTTTGAATTTTGTTGCTATACCTATACGCTGCCGTGGCACATTGAGATATTCTATCTAGTACGGTTGTTGAAATTATGATGCTTCAAACGCTGTGAATAAACAAGGGCTTCTTATCTGTCATTGCTTTGTGTTATACAAAAACATCGTCCTGTCATTTGAAATTCAGTTTTGTTGCATAACTTCATTTTCTTTTACTGGGGGAATCCTTCATGATTATTACACTTCTATGGTGTCATTTTTTGTCATTTGTTCTGGTTTATTATTTAAATTTTGGGGATTTACATACATACTACTTTATTTTATGCTATTTACATATCTAACACTTAAACTTTAATATTACATGCATACCATTTATAGAACAAATATAGGTAGGTGCATGGAATGAAATATTAATGTTTATAAGGTGGTATGCATGGTAAGAATGAAATCTAGGAGTGATATATTTGATATTAAAATTTTATATGAATGGTTTGGGATGTTAGATCTGTAAATAGTATGAAATAAAGTGGTATGTATGTAAACCCCCCTTAAATTTTAAGTGTTCAAATATAAAAAACTTTTTGCTGAGTAGCATGCGCAGAATAAAATTTATTTGACATGACAAAATGTATTTGGCATGACGGCATGGTGTTTCCTTTATGATGTTTTGTGCCCTGATCAATGTCAAGTTAGATGGATTCATCATCCAGATTATCAAAGATTAGAAGTGGTGAACTGGAGAGGCTTCGTGGTCCTCCTTGGTTGAAGGTACATCTGCTAATACCCTTAACATCTACAGCTTCACATAAAAACTGCTTCATATGTACCGCGGTGTATGCAACTATTTAGCCTGTTTGATTGAATGCTATTTGCTGCAGTCATTTCAGAGAGCACTGCTAAACTGTGTATACACAACACTGGACTATGCTCAAACTGGCCTAATTGCTGCTGTGTTCTTTTTCAAGGTGATGCCTTCTCTTTCTCCTTTATTTCCACATAAATAATGCTAAAGAAGTTCCTGTTGCGTGTAAATTCTGTAATTTATTTGTGGTTTGGCATCTTTTGATGATCTATAGCTCTAGATTCACAAGATGGGCTGGTAGGATACCATCGTACTAGGAGCTGTGCTTGACTTGGTTGAAATTATGCACCGTTTTATGTGTGAATGTGTCTTCATGTGCTTATTTGTTCTTGTTCATCATATGGGCCGGCTCAAAAATTCCGTTGAAAGTTTTACATTACAGATGGACCCCCAAGTATGCTTGATGTGATTGTGTTTAGCGACGTGTGAAATGCGAATGCTTGATGTGATGCCTTGCTTATTGCTAGGATATCTTGAAAAAATTCACTGCATTATGGTACATATGAGATTGTGCGTTTCTATGTCAGCGAACGCATTTAGGCTTTGTTTGGGGCGGCCTTTTTACTGCTTTTTAAAGTAAATTTTTAGTACAAAAATTAAAAAAATTATATTAAAAAGCTGCTTTAAGAAGCAATAAGAAAGCCGTCCTAAACAAAACCTTAGTGTTAGCGTTTCATCATTTCATTCATGTGTTTGCATGTTCAATTCCATGTTTTATCTGCTTTGAGTATTTGGTTGATATGGTTCAGTTCATTTGCATGCTGAGCAAAATTCAAATAAGTTTCAGTCTTTAACCTTTACTCAATTACTTTCGTTTAATGCAGATGATGGAATGGTGGTATCAATCTGCTGAAGAGAGAATGTCGGCTCCAACTGTTTATCCCCCACCTCCCCCACCACCCCATCCTAAGGTATTTTGATGACACCATGGTCTGGTATATCAAATTGTACTTTTTTATGTTTTCATGTATTTGTTGATAGAGTTTAATTGGCATATCAAATTGCACTTTTCTAAGTTTCTCTTCCTTATTCTCTTCTGCTTACACTTCAGGGAAATTTGTAACTCTTTATTCTCTTTTCCCTTTGGAATGTCATTGTGGTTCAGTATTTTTTAGCTTGTTGGAATTTTCCCTTGGAACTTCTTCATTTTGATCTTTTCACCTCTTTTTTAAACATATCCAGATAACATGGTTAGAACATCAGTCACCTGGTATGAGAATGCAATAAAAATAATTTATAAACTTGAAATTTGTTTGTATAAGAGCAGGTTCATCTTGTTACTGTATTTAATGGTTTTTCAACATAACTATTGTTTACATGATACATTGGAGTGTAATCAGTCTCAACATTATACCATGTTTTCTTAAATCTAATGATTTTAGAATGCCATCACTCAATTTTCAAGATTTAAGATATATACTATCAAATAATAGTGGATGATTGATAGATGTCCAAGAGGATATTAATGATCAAGACTAGTGTGTCATGAAGATCTAAATTTTACATTGATAAACCAAGATACATTTAAAATTATTTGTAAAATCCATTTCAATTCAATTCTACATAGAAAGCACGTTGAATATCATTTAATAATCTAAACATACATGCATATAAATATACAATTGTAAATATTTGAGGTGTTAAGTTAATGTAAGTCTTCAAGGGATAAGCTCAATTTAAATGTTGTCACACTCAATCTTTAACAAAACAAGAAGCATATAGTGCATGAATTCAAGCTTAACAAAACAAGTATCATATAGTGCATGGATTCGATCTAGTTATGTGAGTAATGAACTAGTAAGAACAAGAGGAAGATGTTTACTTGATCACATAAGCTAGTGAGGCACTTAGATCATCAAACCCCAATGTTATAATACCATGCTTGTATTCAAACAACCAAGATGGTGATAGAAATATCTATGCTACATATAAAAGCAATAAAACTTTAAGCACAAGTATTATAATCTACTCATAACAAGAGTATAGGAGCATATAAATATTAAATCACCACATAAATATCTAAATTATCAAATCAAGGAGTTAATTGTGTAAGTAAATGAATCTAACTATAAAGTTATGGACAAAGATATTTTTACATAGTTTGATTCCTAACTAGTTTACATTTAGGACAAGTACCTCCTAGAATTCCACTGCAACCCCTCGTGTTTGAGGGATCAAGCCAAACAACTTATTTTCTTCCATACTTGATGAATACAACCACTATGCCTTTTCTAGCGGGCAAGAGACACTCAAAACTCCTGATTACAAGAAAAACTTTCCAAAGTCTCAATTGGCCTTGGAAACTTTAATTTGTACACTTTAGTCTTGTTGAATGGAGAAAAAGGATATAATGGAGAAAAAATATTCATGTATCCGACCCCACATGATGGGATAAAGGCTTAATATTGTTTTTGTTGTTGTAGTCTTCTTTAATGCACTAAATAATACATTATGAGCTTGTCTGCAAGCAGCAAGTATTCAAAGCTAGCTAAGTGAAACTTGTAATCATTACAAATGGTTGCTGATATTTGATTAACTTGAAGAACATGTTTAACAAATATTAGATTATATACAAAATTTGTTTTCACCAAATCACTATTGAGAAGAGCATAAAATAGACATGCTCATGGTTTAATATTTTTTTAAATCTCTAATCAATCAGATTTACTTTATGCGCATCTCTCCTAAAAAGTTGTTCGCATTATGATTCTACTTTCTTCACATATGAACTTACCAGTGCTTACCAATGCCATTGATCTTATGAGGTATTTCTTCATATCTGGATACTATTACATTCTAAATCACTGTAATTACAAATTAACAGGTTGCCAATGATGGAATACCATTGCCTCCTGATAGAACTATCTGTCCTCTCTGCTCCCAGAAAAGGGTGAACCCATCAGTCTTGGCTGTCTCTGGTTTTGTGTTCTGTTATTCATGCATATTTAAGTATGTCTCGCAGGTGAGAATCACAATTTGCACTAGGGGTGTAAGTGAGCCAGGCCGGCTCGAGCTCGATTCGTTTATGGGCTCGCAAGCCAAGCTTATCGACCTCACGAGTCGAGTTCGAGCTCGTTTAGTAAACGAGCTCGAGTTCGAGCTTGAACCGGCTTTGCTCGTGAGTCAAGCTCAATAAGAGCCTAAACTCGACTCGACTCGACTCGTTTGCACCCCTAATCTGCACACATACAAGTCTCCTCTATGCTGATTAATTGGACACCATTGATTTATTAATGAAATGATGCCCTGTCCTTGCTCTCTTGTGCAGTACAAACGGTGCCCTGTCACATTATTACCTGCATCGGTGGAGCAGATCAGGAGACTCTTCCATGATTTATAGCATTAGTTCTACCATTTAGAGTTCTTCAAATAAGGGCACAAACTTCAAAGCAACTTGAACGGGTAGGATGCACTCATTCTAAAAGCATTCCGTTTATTGCTTACAAATTGTGACAAAAGCCAGGTTCTAATTGCTCATACACTTTTCAACCCAGTTTTTCAAAATCAGAGAAAAATGTTTTAGAAAGTAGAATGTTATCTGAACATCTCAAGGCAGGTTAATGTCGAATGTATAGATGAAAAATTGTTCTGACCGTTATTGTACTAAATTTCATTCAGCTGACAGGAAATTTTTAGCTGTACAATTTTAGCTTACAGAATATGATGATGGTGTATTATAAATTGAGCCTTTTATTTATAACCAAATGGTTTTGTCCAATGAAGCTATCTATGAAACTTCTTTACTTTATCCTGATTATTTGATATTGATCAGTGAATCTATTCTCCATTCATGATTGTACAATGTTGGTAGAAGTGAATTATGTCACTTTTTATGATTATTTGTTAGTCTCTAGCTATGTTAATTTCTTCTGTTTAACCAAAATTAAGGTGGATTTCTTCTGTTTAACTGAAATTAGGACCTTTTAGCTCAATCTCTTTAACTCTCACTTATAGTTTTGAATTTACCATACACCAGTCAAGCCCACTATATATAGAGGGAAGAAGTTTTAGACAATGAAGAAGGCATTTGTGTCTCTTCATCGAGCAAGAAAGCCCAGCTTCTCCCTAAGGGTGTCAATTTGGGTCAATGGGTTGGATTTGGGTTGAATTTGATTTGACCTGGCCGTAGATGGGTCGACACTAATCAGGCTCATTTTTACAAACGGTTTCTACGGAACTTGATTATCTGGTTTCTGTTTCGAATGAAAACCGGATTTTGTTTCTCTGGTTTCTATTTTGTTTTTTTTTTTAACAAATTCTTGTTTCGTAAGAAATCGGAATTTGAAGGTCTGGTTTCTTAAGAAACCAATTTTTATATTGTATTTTCTAATTAATCAAGAAAATTAGAAATTGGGATATTTAATAATTTTCTAATTAATGGGCACATTGAAATTTCAGACGTTGAAATTATTAATGAATAATATTAAAGAAAATAAGTTTCTGAATTGTCAATTACACCATTTTTTATAAATTGGCCATAATAATTGGGTTTCAAAAAGTAAAATTAAATTAATTTTACTTTTTTAATCTACACTGTTCGAATGTTTTGACAAAAGGAGAGAAAATGAAAATAATAATAATAATAATAATAATCTATTAAAAAAAAAATTAAAATAAAATTTATTCATTCTTGACATTATAAATTAAAATATTATTTATATCAAAATAAAAACAAAGCCCGAATCTCTTGTTCCCAATAACGTTCCTCCCAAGAACAACAATAGGATCAAAGAACCCCTTTCCTTCATTAATATTCTTCATCATTGGACAAAACCTCAAAGGCCGCGGCCTTCGAACAGGCCATGAGATTGCTTGCTTGAAAGCATTTCTATCACCGCCGCTGAAGGTGGAAAGACCACTGAGGGCTGAGATCGACATTGAGGCTGCCATTAAGAGAGTTAAGGAAGAAGTGACAGAGTAAAGAACGCTTCTTTTTAGTTTTGAAGAGAAAGTAAGGCTGTCATTGAGATTTCCTGAGCTGAGCTGTCTTGACTACTGTGGAGAGAGGGCATAGTGGCTATTGGTATTGTGATAAAGCAGAAAATCTCAAGGATTAAGAGGACTACTAAGCTTCTCTTTCTTTGTTGCGCTTTTTTTTTTCTTCTTTAGTATAAAAAGTTTAAATTATTATTTTTCTTAAGATATTTTTTTTTATAAAATATTTTATTATTTTTAATGAGTATATTATACTCACATTGTATTTTTTATATGAGGAGGTTTTTTCCTCAATTGTTGGAGGCCGAGACACATTTATATTCTAATTTTAAAATATAAGTTTACTATTGATAAGCCACCAAAAATCTTTATGATCGTGCACGAATCTTGATTATATTCATGTTAGAAATTTTCCGAATTAAATTCAGGATTATATGAATTTCAATTTTAGCAAACTTATAGTTAAACTAAAAGTTTCGAAGAGACTAACCCAACCACACTAAAATCAATCCAATCCAAGCCCAAATGGGTCCAAATAGAGGCCCGAAGCTTATTTGGAAGGTTCAAAGCCTAAGTTGAATGATCAAATGATATCCAAATATAACATTTTTATAATCGAATTGAGCAGCTAGGTGAGACAAATCGAACGAGCCCAAAATCGCTGAATTCCGACCTCATTAAGGCACCTAAATACTTAAAAAATACTATATGATCGGGGAATCAGTAAGGGCCATCTGGTGGAGCACTCCAAATCTGCCCCATATATTTTTTATGTCTACGAGGTGTGCCACTCACAAAAATTTATAAATAGATCCCCACTCTCTACATGAGGGGGGATCTTTTGGCTGGAGATTTGAAAGAGCTTTGAGGCTTCAAGAGCTCCAACAACATCACCGGTGATCGCTGTCGACCGTCGTCGGACCACTGCCTGGCCATGGACCACCACCGAACTTCTATCTGGCCGCCGACAACAACCAGACTTCTATCTGGCTGCCGACAGCCGCCGGACTTCCATCCGACCATCTTTGGACTATCGTTTGACTGTTGATCGCTGCCAAACTACCACCTGGCTGTCGACTGCTGCCGGACTTCCTCCCTATTATCACCTGACCACTGTCTAGCCATCGACCGCCACCAGACTACCTTTGGTCAGCCGACCGTCACTGGACTTCCGGCAGTCAAACCGCCGGCTTAACAGTTTATTAATACCGGCGGTCAAACCGCCGGCTTAACCGCCGGTAATCCGGTAATACCAGCGGCTATAGGACCGCTGGTAATAGCTGAATTTCATGTAGTGTCCGCTCGATCATAGTCAGACCACCTCCCGACTGCCGACCTCCGCCACCTGCCAACTACGGTCCTTCCGACCACCGTCGTCCGCTGACTATAGTTTCTCCAACCACCGTCATATTATATCCATATTATCAATATAAAGGTATATTCAAATTTTAGGAAATTCAAGATATGGATACCACATGATATATTATATTCATGAATCAAAGGGAATCGCACAAAAGAAAAGATACTACTAATAAATTTCTTATATTTCTTATTGTATTCATTATAGCTTGGGTTCCAACTTGGCTTTCATATTACATTATATTGTTTTACGCATACTTAAGAGCCATTTAACAACACAACACATCATAACCATTTGATTACATAAAAATTTATTGATTTAGGATGCCTACAAAATTCCTACGATGTATGTCCAAGTATTAATGAAGTGCAATATGTGCTAATATTCTTAGTTCATATATGATGATGACAAACTTGTAACAATATAGATTGTCGAAGCTCTTTAGATTCTAAGAACTTAGTTTCCTTAAAGATGAGTTCATAAGTAGATTGAAAATATTAAAAAAAAGAAGATATTTGATCATATAGTTTTCAAAATATTTAACCTTAATATAGTCTAATGATATGAGCTTCGAAATGATTAATGAAATTAAGGCCTTGAAAATTTTCTTAGTTTCAATTTTGTAAAAAAATGATTTTTTTAAAGTTTTGTAGCACTATTTGTTTAGCATGAATAATCTATTTTTAAGCCCCAAACTATAAATATATAATATATTTTGGTAATTTTTTTACACTATATTAGATCAAAAGTTTCGTTAAAAAACAATTAAGTTGTAGAGCTTAATTTTTGACCTATGAAAATAAAGACTTCGGCTTAGTTTGGGACGGCTTTCTTCCTGTTCTTAAAGCAGTCTTTTAGTACAAAATTCTAATTTTTGTACTAAAAAGCTTCTTTAAGAAGCAGGAAGAAAGCCGTCCCAAATGAAGCCTTCATCTGGGACAATTTTCTTAATGCTTTTTTAAAAAAAAATTTACAAAAATTTATAGTTCAAAAAATTTTCATACTAAAAAGATGCTTTAGAAAGTAATAAGAAAACTACCCCAAATGACGCCTTAGCTTAAAAAAATCTAATATATATAATTTATCTTACTAAGCATATTTTACGGATTTTAATGTATTTTTTTCAGCTGCCCTATTTTTCTTTGTAAAATGAGCACCATCTTTTATTGATATTAGACAGATTAGGGCTCCACTAAGGAAATCATAGTAGAATATGCAATATCAACAATAGGACATAGCCACAATTGAGCAAACCTCATAAAATTCTTAACATATTATATATTTTCATCTTATTTTTTTCTCAGTTATTTGAATTAAGTCTCATCTAATTCCCAATAAAGCCAATAGTCCCAAAATCATTGAATATATTTAATGTAACAAATACTAAAACCATAGCTCACTATTTACATCTACATATACAAAGCACCATGCATAACATTATTCTTATATTAGCTACAAAGTGCACACTACAAGAATTTCACTGAATATCGACAGTCATTTGATAAAACCGCCAATTATTTTATTTGCCACTGGTAATAATCGGCGGCTATCTGGCGGTTTTACCGCCGGAAATACCGGCGGTTTTACTGCTGGTAGCGACTGTCCAAAAGTTACCGCCGGTATTGGACGATATTCCTGTAGTGTTACTTGAGCAAAGCTAAGCTAAGCCATCATGTTTTGACTTTAAAACAACACAATTGTATCTATAAGAAGCCTGTACATATATCATATTATAAGACACTCAGTATAGTAAAGGATATAGTAGTAGCACTAGTTTGGTATAAGCTTGTAAGGAGGTTTCACAAAGGCTGGAGAAGGATCATAGCTTTGATAGTCATTGGTCCTCACTGTAAGCATTCTGGAAGGGACAAAGGAAACTTCTTCATTCTGTAATTCCTGTCATATATCAAAGAAAGAAATGTAGTTTTGATAGAAAAATATAAGAAATTTTTTTAATGTTGTTGCACTGCACACTTCTTCCTTTTCTGAGCATATTTATATAAATAAGAAATTTTTATAGAAAATTATAAAAAAATATACCTTTGACACAGCTTTTACTGGAGAAGATTTATCTACTAGATTTCTATGCCCATCTGCAGAAAAAAGTAATTCAGAGGAAGCATAGGAAGGCTTATGAACAGAAGTTTATGTGTATGGAGGACAAAATTAAAAAGCAATTTTTTTTTTTTTAGAAGTTTTCGGCTCTTGATCCTTTGCTCAACCATGATAGAAGAGGGCAAGAATCATGATAGCCATAAATTATATAAACCACTATTTATCCTAGTTGAATTGTGATACTTCGTTTGGGACGATTTTTTTTTGCTTTTAAAAGCAAAGTTTTAGTACAAAAATTTTAATTTTTGTACTAAAACTTTGTTTTAAGAAATAATAAGAAAATCGTCTCAAACGAAGCTTAAGAATTCATTTAGAACAGCTTTCTTACAATTTTATTTTTCAGACCGCAACCATAATTTCTATTTGGTCACTGTTATTTCATTGCATTAAAAAAATTTTTGTAATAGAAAACTGCTTTCTAAAACATCTTTAGAAAGCTACTTTATCTATAACAACTTTAAGAAACAGTAAGAAAGCCATCACAAAAAAAACCTAAATTTATTTTCAATAGTTTGAAAGCTATAAGAGAGGATCAATCACATAATATGTCTACATAACATGGTTTTGATCAATTAAAAGTAGAATTAAACCTAATTAAACGCTAATTAAGTCTTAACTGAATTATAGTTTTCAAATTATATTTAAATGACTCCTGACAGTCGATGTTAGTAAAAAGAACTGCAAGAGCATAAAGTAAACTAACACACAGCAAGAAATCCAACCTGAAGTGAAAAATGAGAGTAGTAATGTTGAGATTATCATGAAACAAAGAACCCTAAACTTGGGAGACAAAGACCCCATGGAAGCTGAACTTTGAAGCTTTCTCCTCTCATATAAAGAGGACTAGATAGAGGAAAAGAGAGCTCCTTATATATATATTCTGCTCTAAAAACCAGATGAACTGCTTGTCAGTGATGATCGAAGATAATTTGTGGTCATAATTTATTATGTGATAGTGTGAAGCCCACTATGATTTGTACCTCCAAGCTTATTTAGAAAATGGAGAAAGTAGAGGTGGAGCATTATCTCTTTGCCCTCTGACTGGATAGGCTGTGGTGGAAATCTCTATCTGTCTAAACATAAATAAGTTTCAGTTATCTTGAAGTCTGCATTAGTGTTTAGCTCTTTGAAAATAATTATTATTACTTTTCTTTTGGGGTACTGCGAGTGACTGTTTGAGTTAGCTTGCAGATTTATCATAAGCTGGATATGAGTTGCTTCTACGTACAGGCAGCTTTTTGAAAAGCTGTCTTTTGATAGATTATCATGTAAAAGCTTGCTCCAATATATAGTATAGCCTATTCAAACTCCAAGCTTTCATTTGAGAGTGTTACATGTTATAGTATAATTTCTCTCTTTTTCACCATCCTTTTGGGCTGTCATGGTATATAGAACGATTATCTTTCAACCATTACAAGGATCACGGTTGGTAGCCATTGTAAATCTATCTAATCAAGCACGAATCTTTGTGCAATATTTGAATTCAAAGCTTTCAGAATTCTTTATGCAATATTTGATCAGTTCAAAGCTTTCAAAATTAGTTCAGAACCATTCAATTTTGATTTCAAAATTAGTTCAGGACCATTTTTCATATGAAAGAGATCTGTCTTAATCTCCAGTATATTATTGAAAATGGTGAACTTAAGCATGGTATTGCTTAGCCCAAACTAAATGATTCACTTTCCTCTTGTTAGTCGCTCCTCAACATCTTGGTAGATATATGGCTTCATTTGGGACGGCTTTTTTACGTACTGCTTCTTGAAACAGTTTTTTTGTAATAAAAATTATTTATTTTTTTGGTACTAAAAGCTTGTGTTATTAGATTTAAATGAGAATTTGACTTTTAACATGACACAATGGCGAAAAATGATTCATGTAACCAACCCCACGTAGTGGGACAAAGGCTTGATGCTGCTGCTGCTGTTGTTGTTGTACTAAAAAACTGCTTCAATAAGCAATAAATAACAGACCCAAGCAAAACAATAGAGTAGATGATGCTTCAAGCTGCTGAAGAAAGTTACACATCTCAGAGGCAGGTTAGAAAATGACCTGAGTTAATAAAGGCTACACATTACACACAATTATCGTTGGTAGGCTAAGAAGAGTAAATAATCAATAGGTGGAGAGAGAGAGAGAGAGAGAGAGAGAGAGAGAGAGAGAGAGAGAGATTGTCAATAGTTTCCATACTATTAGTGTGAGGTTAATTTAGCTTTAGAGTGTCATGTTGCTCTAATTTAATCACTCGGCTATACAAAATTGATTTAAAATGATATAATGTTGTATTGATGATGGAAAATTGATCATAACATAATCCCAAAGAAACAATTTTGAATCAATCTCAAGTGGTCGTAAAGGAATTAAATTGAAGCTATGTGATATTATGGAAGTAAAATGACTACATATAAATAGTCAGGGGAGGGCTATTTTGAAGTTTTGAGTAGGCATGTCATTTCAGGCAGAGGGCGATTAGCAGGTTTTGCCGGGTCATTTGGGATTATTCCTGAGTTTTCGGGTCAACTTGAACCCGACTCAATTTTTTAAACGGGATGGTTGGTTGAACCCAAACCCGACCTATTTCACAAATGTGCTTTGAGTATGGTTTTCGGGTTGTGTCAAATATTAACACCCGTAGTTTTGACTATTACTGTGATTTTGTTTGGGAGAGCTTTCACCACAGTTTTTATTTGGTCATTACTTTTTCACAGCTTTCAATAAATTTATGTGCTTGAAAATTACTTTCTAAACACCTTTTGAAAAAGTTTTTTTCTTCATATTAATTTTATAGCTATCTTTATAATAAGTTATAGCCCTCCCAAATGAGTCCTCTGTCTCAAAATATCAACAGCTGAAAAGAGTGGAGTGGGAGATTTCTGTTACTATAAAGTTTTGCTATAAATATTGTAAAATTAAGGTAAAGAAGGCCCAAATTATTACGTCCTCCAACCGGACCAAGAGAAACGTCCGGTCTGAGGCCAAATCACGCCAAAAAACGAGAAATACCGATCAAATACCGAGCAATACCAAACAATAATGAGGAATACCATCACGTGAAGACCCAATACCGAATTATACCGAGCTATACCGAGCAATACCGAGTTATACAAAAGTTGTACCGAGTTTTTCCGGTACAACTCGGTATTGCTAGGTATAACTCGGTATTGGTCTTCACAGAGCGGTATTCCTCGTTATTATCAAATAATACCTAGCAATACCAAACAAATACCGAGTTTTTTTACGGGATTTTATCTCGGACCGGACCTTCCTCTATGTCCTTACACCGGACCTAATAAAAGTTCCGGAGAGAGCTTTGTAGGTAGTTACCTCGGCATTATACCCACTGAAAAGACACGAAACACGACTTTTCTGAAAGCGTTACTAAAGTGGAGAATAAAGAGAGATCCACTGCAGGTTTTGTTTTGTTAATGAATGCATGCTTCTGCTTTATGAAAAGTGCTTTACAGATAACTTTTGAATTAAACAAAACTCTAATGACACACAGATTAGGATAGATTACAGTCAAATCATCAGCTATAATATCCACTTTTGATATATCATCAAAAAATTTATCTTGATCTGGCATGGATCTCGAGGTAAAATTGAGTTAGAAATTTCAGAAATTAAATTCAGAATCATATAAATTCCGATTTCAGCAAATTTATAGTTGAACTGAACTTCTCAAAAAGATGAACCTAACAACACCAAATTCGATCTAATCTAAGCCCAAATAGTATATATATATATATATAAATAATGCAATTTGTTTGTTAAAAAATTGTGCATAGCTGAAGAAGAGGAGCTTTTATTTGATTCGGTGTAAGGACGCAGAGGAAGATTCGGTCGTAGGCAAAATCGCGCCTATACCGTCAAAAAACTCGGTACACCTCGGTATAGGCTGAAAAAACTCGGTACACCTCGGTATAGCGCGATTTTGCCTACGACCGAATCTTCCTCTGCATCCGGTCGGAGGACGTAATAATTCTTCGAAGAAGAGAGTTTTGATGAACACCCAACCCACTCTACAGTCAAAAGCTCATTGATCTTCTCAAATTATTTTGATGTTCAGTGGGCTATCTTTATTAAAGTTTGTATTTTTTTATTATAATCTTAATTATTTAAAGCATATTATTTCTCCCTAAAAGAGAAGAAGTATGATTTTATGACATTTAATCAAGAAAATATGCATATTCATCGGATGAATTTATTAAATTATAAATTTAATCGCATAAGATAAATAAAATTAGTATATTTGTAATGAGTGGATTTTAAGAGGGTTTGTAGAGCTTATATACTGTTGATATCTAATAACATGCAACCAAGTAATGTATTTGATAAATTTATTAATTTTTAAATGTATTTCATAATTTTAATGAGCATATTTTTGAAACTAATACTATATATGAAAATAATATATTGCACTCATCTCAAAATAAATTGAATAATTTTTATGATGTGCACAGAACTTGTGTTCAACTAGACTTGTAAATACAATTAGAGCTCTAAAAGGCGAGAAATTATTCCGTGCGGACGCCGGAAGCAACTCTATGTCCAGAGGCGAATCAGGTGCATTCACATCAGCGGAACCGAACGAAGGGGTGACGTGACATATTCTGATTCGTCTCCGGACGACGTTGTGCATCGCAAATACAATGAGAGCTCTAAAAGGCGAGAAATTATTCTGTGCGAACGCTGGAAGCAGCTCTACGTCCAGAGGCGAATCAAGTGCATTCACGTCAGCGAAACCGAGCGAAAGGGTGACATGAAGTATTCTAATTGGTCTCCGGACAACGTTCTGCATCAGCACTGAATAATTTTTCCTAAAAAAACTATCAAGGCATCTCCAAATCTTTGTAAAGCTATCTTATTTTTCTGCCTCTCACTCTGTGCCATTGAATAGAACCTCATGTAAATGATTATAATCATCAGAGTTCAATCAATTATCAATAACATCAAGTCTTTCCTACTACATGGGATCGAAAACATGAATATTTTTTACTCTATTGAGTTAAATAGTTGACAATTAAAATAAAATTTGTTGAATAATCATGATATAAAATTTTTTAATATATTGTATTCAATCTACTATTAATGGGGAACAAATTTGGAACAGAAACATCTTAATTTCCACATGCTCCTTATATAATGCAAAGGCATCGGAGGTTTTCATGTTCTTCCATGGTTCGGATGAGAATTTCTTGGTCCTCTTGCTTATTTTTTATCATCAATTGCTGCTTTCGATTTAAAAAAAAGTCAAATTTTGACAGATATTAAGACTTAAGCTCCGTTTGAGACAAATTTTTTTATTATTTCTAAAATAAAATTTTAATATAATATTTTTTTAATTGTAAAATTTTATACTTAAAAAAAAAGGGTTTTAGAAAGTAATAAAAAAAGCTGACAAATGAAACCTTAGGCTTCATCTAGGACTGCTTTTGGAAACAACTTTTTAATACACAAATTAATTGAAAGCAGGAAAAAAATAACAATCATAAACTGTTCCAAATAAAGGAGATTATTATGTTCGAACACCAGACCATTCAAAGGCGAATAAAAGCCCGCCACGTCACCCGATACATAGCAAAAAGATGACATGGTGCACTCTAATTCGACTCCGAACAACATCCGGTGTCCGCATAGAATGACTTTTTTTCCCAAACAAAAAACCTTTCTGCAATTGAAACTGTAATTCTGGTATCTTCTGTTGCCAACATACGTGCTTTCATTAGCTTACTAATCTCTTGATCATTCTTCTTCATATCATCTAAGAAGAAAATTCCATCTACAATGGAGAGATGAATTATAAGGCCAATGAACTAACAAAAGAGGTTTGTTTGATTTGGTGTATTAGAGATGTAAAGTCAGCTCATTTTTCATGAGTTCCGAATTCGCCTAAATTGGGCAAAATCAAAACTCAAGCTTCATTTGGGACGGCTTTTTTAATGTTTTCTAAAATAATTTTTTAGCATTAAAATTTCTAAGTTCAAAAAATTTTTATACTAAATCCTCCAGCTTTGGTTCCATCTCCCCCTTCCTCTCCCTTTCCAAATCCTAGAAGTTTCATAAGGGATCCTTGTTTTTAGTATTTACCTTACAATCAATTAAAGAAACAGAAATAATCTTTACATTTATTTTAAAACCAACCAAATATTTCCAAAATAATCAAATTTTAGCATATTTAATTTACAAAGCAATTGAAAATACACATACATCACAACTACATCCAAAAGAAGCAATTTGCAAGTAAAATATACAGTAAAAATTAAACAAAAGCAAGTCAGGAGTAACACAATGTTTTCCCAGATTCCATCAACTTATCAGAAAGCATTATTTCAGTAGCATTTAAGATGTTTTATTACTTTTTTGGGCGCTAGGGTCGACACGGAGACTATTCTCTCTTTGGTACACAGATTTGGCACCCTGTAGAGTAATCAGAAGAAAAACCAATTCAGTATTCCAAGGGGCAAAACTTCATCAGAGAATCAGAACATAAGCAAAAGGCTTTTTTTTTTGTTGGTCTGTAATTTCGTATATCATTTTTCTAGTTGAAATTGCAAATTATTTAGGTTTGTTGATAGAGGAATTGGAAATGGGACCTCCAGATAAAAATCGGTTTATGTAAAATTGCAAATTGCAAATTGTTCAGGATTGCAGATAGAGGAACTCAGATAAAAATCAGTTTATATTACTTCTGAAGCAATGAGGATTATATCAGGACCTAATGATGACAAAAGTTAAACCTAAATATATTTTTCTTCCCTTATTTGTTTAAAAAGTAAAACTACAGCATATCACCAGTTACATTAAGGCTTCGTTAGAGACGGCTTTCTTCTTGCTTTTTAAAACCGACTTCTTAGTATAAGAATTTCTTGAATTTGAAATTTTTGTACTAAAGTTATTTTTAAAAGCAGTACAAAAGCTGTTCCAAACGAAGCCTAAATATGTATTCTCTACACATAAATACCCAATGCCAGAGACATGACGTAGAAATATTTTTTTAATGCTAAATGGTCAAAAGATACTTACTTGAAATATTGTCCCTAGCTTCTTTAGAGCTCTGGCTCGAAGTTTGAGAACATCCTTGGGGACATTGCTTTCTCTAAGGACCTGAAACACAAGGTACAGCTCAGCGTCCACTGCATAGAGGGGATAAAGATATATATTTCGTCGCACTTTTGCTTCAGTTAAACAGATTCAACGAGAACTGCAGACTGTAGCATTAAACAAATGGAGACATTTCATAAGGGGATGAGTGTTGATGGAAAATCTTCTATATGTATCACTTATTAAATAAATGTGCAGGACGACATAATGGAAAAAGATAAGGAAAATAACATAACTGTGAGAGAATAAATGCATATTTCCCCAATTTAGATGCTTTCCTAAAACAAATTTCTCCTAATATTATAGTTAAATTACGAGATGTTGATAGGGAAAAGGCTTAGCTTTATTGCATAAATCTATCCATATTTATAGATCTATATAGGAATATAGGAATATAGGATATCTAATAAAGAAACAAATAAATTACATAATTGTCCTAATATAATCCTTCCTAAATCAACCACCTAACTAGGAAAAGAGATTGGCGTGATCTAGATAAGAATCCCATGGATCCCTATCTAAGACATGGGATCAAATGCCAAGGGATGACTGAGATTTAACATTGCCACTCAATTATGAATTTAGGCAATAGTGAGTTGTCGCATATAGGAACATAACTAGTGGAATCCACTAGGATGCAAGGAGACGAAGCAATGAGTTCGTGATTGGGGTTAGGAAGTAGGTGCTTATGGTGATTGATGATTAGAATTGGGTTTGTGAACACTACCAAAGTTGGGCACTAACGCACAAGGATGCTTGCAAAAATGCAAAGATGGATGCATGCGTAGACACATTCTAGGATAAGAGGTATTGCGGGTGAGGTGATGAGTGTGAAGAGGATAGTGTTACGTTTGGACCGGTCCCAGCTAGACCGGTCCGGTTATACGCCCGTCGGCCCAGAGCCGGGCGGAACCAAATCGTAGAAACGGCGGAAGAAGGAGCGGGCCCATGAAAGCTTTGAGCGTTTCGTTGGAGGGAATTTTTGAATGAGGAGGGTGTTTAGGTAATTTGTATATTTCCTTTTGCTTTAATTAGGGAGTAATGAGGCAATGAGGGATTATCTTGAATTTGAATCTTATTTGAGATCTAGGTTTTGTTCTTGGGCTCTTGGCGTTGCCGGAGATTGTGGAGAGTAATTCCTTCCTCTCGAATTGAAGGAAAAGTGTATCTTTCTTTGTTGTTTGCATCTACTACTGGAATACAAGAGTTTTGCATCGTTTTCTCTCAGAATTCTAGTGAAAATCCCTTATCTCTCTCTGTTTTGTGGTTGTTTCCTGTGGTGGACAGCAACCATATTGCTGTGATTTACTGATTTGGGGTTAGGAATACTTGTGAATACAAGTATTTCCTATCAAATTGATATCAGAGTGTCGTTTTTTGGGACCGTTGGTGGCTGAAATCCTGAAAATTTCAGCAGTTTCTTCGTTCCCAGAATAAGATCTTTGAGATTCTTGGGAAGGACGATGGCCGGGAAGAAAGTAGAAGTTTTGGAAGGCGAAATCAGACAATTGAAATCCGATTTGGAGGGAAGATTTTTCGATTTCCAAAATCAAATCACCTCCAACAATGAAAGGTTGGAGGGGAAGTTCATCGTGATGGAAGAAATGATGAAGAAATTACTTGAAATGAAGACCAATCCGGAGACATCAGAAGTACGAGAGACCACCGACGGCCATGGCACGGGAGGAAATCCGAACTCGTTACGGGGAAGGAGGAATTCGGAGGTAGAGATCTTGGAGGAGGAGAATGACATGCCCCCTCTAGAACCACTTTCTAGAGAAGAGATGAGTAGGGGATACGACCAACGGGAGGCTGATTTGGTCGGAAGGAGGGAAGAATTCAATCGCCGAGGTGCTGAATTTGAAAGAATCCAGCGTCGAGATGCTGATTTGAAGGGGGAAGGGAAGAATTTCATCGCCGATGTGCTGAATACAAAAGAATTCAGCGTCGAGGGGCTGTTTTTGAAAGAAGAAGTGAGGAACGTCATCGTCGAGGTGCTGAATTTGAAGCAATTCAGCGAATTCAGCGTCGAGGTGATGATTTGGAAGGGAGAAGAGGAGAGTATGAAGAGGGATTCGAGTATAACCGTCGGAGGGATGATCGGGACACTTGAGGAACTCTTCCCCTCAATGTTTAAAATTGCGTATTCGGGTATTGAGGCGTTTTTCATTCGTGGGGCGAGGCATAAGCCTCAAGGCGTTTTGAGGCGTAAGCCTCAAAATCAAAAGATTGCGTAAACATAAAATGATAAATTTTTTATATACTAATGAGTGAATAATATAAAACATAAAAAAACATAAGATATGAAGTGAAATCAAAATATCCCAGTAATAAGATAACATGAAATATAGTTCAACTCAAAATTCTATCTTTCCCAAATCCTAGTATTCTTTTCATTAAAATATAATTTTAATTTCCAAAAATAAATAGCAATGACATATCACATAAGAACTCATAAGTCATCAGCACTGTCATCACTAAGGGGTTCTTCATTTGAATCATCATTATGATAAACTGCTCTCTCCCCTTCCTCCTCTTCTATAGAGTCTAATGTCGGGCATTTACTTCAAGATTTATGTAAGTTTTAATATATATTGCGTGAGGCGTAAGCCTCATGCCAGTGAGGCGAGGCGGGCCTCAAAGCCGGCCTCAACCAAGTTGAGGCGCAAGCCTCATAAAAAAACTCGAGGCGTAAGCATCGAGGCATTTTTTACTGGAATTGGCGGGCCTCAAGGCGAGCCTCATATTGCGCAATTTTAAACCATGCTTCCCCTTCGAGGAATGGGAGGTTATGGAGGATACAGGGGAAACGGAGGAGACCCACGAGTGAGGAAGCTGAAGATGCCCGTCTTTGAGGGTGAGGACGACCATGACTGGATCTACAAGGTGGAGCGTTACTTCACTGTCAACGGGTTGACAGAGGAAGAAAAGCAGATGACGGCGGGACTGTGTTTGGAGGGAAATGCCTTGGCCTGATATCAGTGGCATGACAGGAGGGAGCCCATTCGGAGCTGGAGAGAGTTCAAGGATTGCTTACTAGAGCGTTTCCGAGCCGATGGGGGAGGAGACTTCTATGAGCAATTCTTTGCTATGACTCAGGAGAGGACAGTGGCAGACTACCGGGCAAGTTCGAGTACTTGGCTAGCAGATTAGATCACATTTCAGAGTCAGCCTTGGAAGGTAATTTCATGAAAGGGCTGAAACCGGAGATCCAATCAGCAGTAAGGGTGTTGGAGCCGAGAAACCTAGGTAAGGATATGGAGCTGGCGCAATTGGTGGAAGACCAGAATAAATCAAAAAGAGGAGCTCGAGGGAACTATTATGGGGGCTCATACAAGATGACTACCACCTTCCTACCAACAAAAGGGGGGAGCGTCAGGGGGTCAGAAGGAAGCACCCAAGGAGAAAACTGGAGGGGGAAATGGAGGACAGTTCAAAAAATTGACAGAAAAGGAGATGCAGGATAAGAGAGCAAAGGGGTTGTGCTTCAGGTGTGATGAGAAGTATATGCCGGGACATAGGTGCAAGGACCGAACTCTTCAGGTTCTCCTTGTCTGTAAAGACGAGGAAGACGAGGAGGAAGGTGGGAGCAGATCTGAAGAGGAGGAGGAGAAGCTGCACCTTGACTGAATCACACTATGAAAGTGAGAGGAGAGATAGCTGACCGTAAGGTGGTGGTGCTGATAGATAGTGGGGCAACCCACAACTTCATTTCCACCCAGATCGTTGAGCTGCTTGGAATGGAGTTAATGGATACTGGAGGGTATGGGGTTATGATGGGCACAGGAAAGGTGGAGATTGGGAGAGGAGTTTGTAGAGGAGTGGTGCTGAAGATACAGAGGATCCAGGTGAGGGAGGACTTCCTCCCCTTGGAACTAGGGAGCACTGACGTCATATTGGGGATGAAATGGCTGTAGACATTGGGGGAGACCAAGATCAACTCGGGGATACTGAGGATGGAGCTGGTGATAGGGGGGAGAAGGAGGGTGATGTTGGGCTGACCAAGGCTGGGGTTTCTCTCAAATCCCTGATCAAAACCATTAAGGGAGAGGGAGGAGGCTACTTGGTGGAGTTGCACCGCTTGGAAGGGGTCAGACTCGAGGAAGAGGGCAATGTTCCATCATCAGTGCAACCACTCATACATCAATTCGACGGGGTATTTCAAACCCCCCAGGGTTTACCTCCTCAGAGGGAGCTGGAGCACACCATCAGTTTGAAAGCAGGGGAAACATCGATCAGCGTCCGGCCTTACCATTACCCACATATCCAGAAAGATGAGATTGAGAAGCTGATCCTGGAAATGCTGGAGGCGGGGATCATCAGACTCAGCGTTAGCATTTTCTCTAGTACAGTTCTCCTGGTCAAGAAGAAGGATGGGAGTTGGACATTCTGTGTCGATTACAGGGCTCTGAATAAGGGCACTGTACCAGACAAATTCCCAATTCCAGTGATTGACGAGCTGTTGGACGAGCTACATGGGGCAGTGGTATTTTCCAAGTTGGACTTAAAATCTGGATAGCACCAGATCAGGATGAGAGAGGCGGATGTCCCGAAGACAGCCTTCAAGACACATGAGGGACATTATGAATTTCTGGTAATGCCCTTCGGATTGACCAACACTCCTGCAACTTTTTAATCCTTGATGAACAGGGTATTCAAGCAGCACCTCAGGAAGTTTGTCCTGGTCTTTTTTGATGACATCATGGTGTACAGCAGGACTATGGATGAGCACTTGGAACATCTGAGGGTGGTATTAGAAGTGCTTCAGGAGCATCAGTTGAAAGCAAACCTGAAGAAGTGCAGTTTTGCTCAGGCAAGTGTGGAGTACTTGGGACATGTGGTATCCTAAGGACTGGCAGCGGATCAAACTAAAATTGAGGCAATGCAGAAATGGCCACTGCCTAGGAACCTCAGGGAGTTGAGGGGTTTTCTAGGATTGACGGGATACTACAGGAAGTTTGTGAAGGGGTACGGCTCCATTGCATGGCCATTGACTGAGCAACTGAAGAAGGATAGTTTTTTATGGGGAGAAGCAGCAACCCAGGCTTTCCAGAAGCTAAAGGAAGCCATGACTACAGTACCAGTGCTAGCACTTGCAGATTTCAACCAGGTCTTTGTGGTAGAGACGGATGCGTCAGGACATGGACTAGGGGCATTGCTGATGCAGAATCACAGGACGATAGCATATTACAGTCAAGTGCTTTCAGCTAGAGCCAGATTGAAGTTAGTATATGAAAGCGAGCTGATGGCCATTGTCCTGGCTATTCAGAAGTGGCGGCCTTATCTCTTGGCAAGATACTTTATTGTACGGACTGATCAGAGGAGCTTGAAGTATCTGTTAGAGCAAAGAATGGTGACCGAGGAACATCAAAGGTGGTTATCCAAACTATTAGGCTACGATTTTGAGATCCAATATAAGTCGGGTTTGGAAAATAGGGCAGCCGATGCTTTATCCAGATGTGTTGGGGAGCTCCAAGAATTAGCTGTGTCGGTACCCTTGATGGTCAACTGGGGTGCTATCAAGGAAGAAAGCCTGCGGGATGAAGAATTGGGAAAAATCAGAGAAGATCTAAGGACAGACAAGAGTAGCCATCCGGGTTACTGCATTGAGGGGGAGAGGCTATTGTATCAAGGGAGGTTTGTGATGCCGAGAACCTCCATCCACATTCCCCACTTGTTGCATGAGTTCCATGGCAGCGCGGTTGGAGGCCACTCAGGAGTTCAAAAGACCTACAGGAGGCTAGCAGCTAAGCTCTACTGGAAAGGGATGCACAAAGATGTGGAGGAGATGGTAGCAATGTGTGAGGTGTGCCAGCGAAACAAATACATGGCAATGGCTCCAAGAGGACTACTACAACCATTGACACTTCCAAACAATGTTTGGGAGGAAGTGTCAATGAATTTCATCGACGGCTTACCCATATCAGAAGGATTCACGGTCGTCCAGGTAGTGGTGGACCGACTCAGCAAATATGCACACTTCATTCTCTTACGACACCCCTACACTGATGTGTCAGTAGCAGCCGCATTTATCAGGGAGGTTGTTAGACTGCATGGGATTCCTAAATCGATTGTGTCTGATAGAGACAAAGTGTTCCTTAGCCAGTTTTGGAGGGAACTGTTCCGAATGCAGGGCACTATCCTCAAGAGAAGTACCGCCTACCATCCTCAGACAGATGGACAGACAGAGGTGGTAAACCGGAGCTTAGAGACATATTTGAGGTGTTTTGCTTCAGAAACACCACGGAAGTGGGCACAATGGTTACCATGGGCGGAGTACTGGTACAACACCTCGCACCATTCTGCTTCTCAGATGACCCCACTCAAAGTGTTGTATGGGAGGGACCCCCCCACACCTAGTGCACTATGGGAGAGGAAGTACACCTAATTCTTCAGTTGAGCAATACATAGAGGAACGAGACCTTGTGCTAGAGGAGCTGAAGAAAAATCTAGGAAGAGCACAACAAATCATGAAGAAGCGAGCAGATACACACAGGATGGACATACAATATGAAGTAGGGGATAAGATGTAATTGAAGCTAAGGTCCTACAGGCAAAAATCAGTGGCTAATAGGAGGAACAAGAAATTGGCCCCAAGATACTTTGGTCCCCTTGGGGAAGATTGGAGCAGTGGCGTATCGTCCGAAGTTACCCTCCTCCGCTACCATACACCCGGTGTTTCACGTGTCACAGCTGAGGAGAGCACTTGGAGAGCATGCAGCTAGTGTGGAATTGTCAGCATCACTGACAGAGGATTTGGAGGTGGTCATGGAACCCGTGGAGCTAGAAGGGGTAAGGTGGGATAAAAAGGGAAACAAAGAGGTGTTGATCAAATGGAAGGATCTTCCCGACTACGAGGCCACTTTGGAGCCCTGTGAGATGATGAAGCAGCAGTTCCCGTACTTTCACCTTGAGGACAAGGTGAATCTTTGAGAGGGGAGTAATGTTACATTTGGACCGGTCCCAGCTGGACCGGTCTGGTTCTACACCCGGCGGCCCAGAGCCGGGCGGAACCAAATCACAGAAACGACGGAAGGAGCGGGCCCAGGCAAGCTTTGAGTATTTTGTTGGAAGGAATTTTTGAATGAGGGTGTTTAGGTAATATGTATCTTTCATTTCGCTTTAATTAGGGAGTAATGAGGCAATGAGGGATTATCTTGAATTTGAATCTTATTTGAGATCTAGGTTTTGTTCTTGGGCTCTTGGCGTTGCCGGAGATTGTGGAGAGTAATTCCTTTCTCTCGAATTGAAGGAAAAGTGTATATTTCTTTGCTGTTTGCATCTACTATCGGAATACAAGAGTTTTGCTTCGTTTTCTCTCAGATTTCTAGTGAAAATCCCTTGTTTCTCTCTGTTTTGTGGCTGTTTCCTGCGGTGGACAGCAACCATATTGTTGTGATTTACTGATTTGGGGTTAGGAATACCTGTGAATACAAGTATTTCCTATCAGATAGCTAAGTCTTAACCGAGTCACTTTAATACTATATTGATGAGAAATCCTATGATGTATTATACATTAAATAAAGGTGTATGGTTATAAGTGTACAAAATGAATATAATGATAAAAAAAATCTATGACGCATAGACAATTCTCCTCAAAGAGGCGTGCAGTATCCGACACGACAAGCGTCCGACACTCTGAAAATGTGTCCAATTAAAAAAAAATTAAATACAAATTGGACACGTGTGTCCGACATGCGTATCTTAAATATTTTATGAATTTTTAAATAAAATTTCTTGTATTTAAAATTTTTACTTATTTAAAATATAAAAACCAAATTTCCTATTTCCTATCCACAACATCAAATCAATCACCCGCACTTAATACCCCATTCATCGAATATTCTCATTTTCATTTCTCTTTGGCAGATTACAACTTTGATTTCATAACAATGCCCTATTTCATCTCGACATCGACATCTGATGTCGTTACAACATCAACATTTCAAAACAATCTCCATATCAAAATTTGACGTTGTCTTTACATTGATGCTCGATGCTAGCAATTTTTACACCCACAACTTGACATCTCATCTTTGTCCAACGTCTTCTCAACATCGACGACCAACGCCGTCTCAATATCGACGATAAACGCCCTCTTAACATTGACATCCAATTTTTACTGCATAACATCAATGCCCGACTGTCGACAGCATTGTCATCTCCTCTCTCGATGTGATAAACAGCATCGACGTCCAACTCTTGACATCTTAATATTAATCATTTCAAGCACAAAATCTAGTTAAATGACTTATTATTTTTAAATTATTTTTAAATTATACTTATTCAATTTTTATACATTAATTTTAAAATATAAAAAACTATAATACCATGTCCAACCCGTGTTTGTGTCCTATATTTTTAACAATTAATGTGTCCCGTGTCCGTGTCTTTGCATCATAGAAAAAAAGTTGGATAATAAACACAGTTATGGGGAGTAATGCGTATCTCCTCAACTTAGATGATTTCCTAATACTATTTTTCTTATGTAAATTTGTTATGCCAATGGTACGCATATCATGATTTTTTTTCTTTATTTCTAAAAGATGAACTATTTGAATCCCCCTAGCCATCAAATGTATAAGCTATTTGGAAAATAGTTTTAAGTGTTTAGGAGCTTACAGCCTGACAAACATGTGAAAGTGTTGATTCAATATCAACAACATTTATCTTCCATAGGGAATTAACCATAGCGTCTTTCTTTTCTGCAATATTCTTTATGAAGTCCTCTTCCATGTTTTCACTTTGATCTAATTTCTTCATACTTTCTTGTAGTTGAATCAAAGAGATGGCCCCTGGCATCAGAAAGTTGGACGTTAGTATCTAAACATTAAACAAAGGTTGCCAAAGGTTGTTCTTATGACAATGTATCCGAAGACTGGAACAATAAGCAAAATAAAATTACCTGATGCTGCATTTACTTGTGATTTGACATGATGGCCTTTATCCCGCACCCATTCAGCTATGAATGGCACACCCATATATAATATATTTTTTCCAAGTTCCTTTGCAGCTTGTCTCCTATAAATGTAACCAATGGTATGCAGCATAGCCTCTCCAAAGGCTGAAAGCATCAAATAACTTAAATAAACGAAAAAGCCAAAGAAATAACTAGTAGCTAAGAAGTGAACAAAATACACTCTTCGATGAATTCGCCATCAATGGAATCAACAAAGCCAATGGTAATGATTATCACATACAGGCTCATCAAACAAGAGGCTAGCGGAAATACTATATGCAAAGAATGTTTGGAAAAATAAGTAAAAGCTAATAATATATGATTTTAACTTTCACAAAACAACTTCAGAAATTCCATGTTGAAACTTAAGTGCAACCTAAGAATTGATTTTTTTTTAAGTACTGCTGAAGTGGACCAACCTTACAAGTTACTTGATTTTGCTTGGAGTACTAAAAGATCCCATGCAAGAAGGTGGACATTGAATTGATTCAACCTCATCAAGTGGGCCATGCCGATTACATTTTAATAGAACCAGAAAATAATAAGGATTCCCCATGCATAGGTGATATATAATCAATTGCTCATATCAAAAATTTATCTTTCAAACATAGTTGGTTTATGTTAGACCGGTCCAATCATCAAGTGGGCCATGCCGATTACATTTTAATAGAACCAGAAAATAATAAGGATTCCCCGTGCATAGGTGATATATAATCAATTGCTCATATCAAAAATTTATCTTTCAAACATAGTTGGTTTATGTTAGACCGGTCCATTGGACCGGTCCAGCCGGTCCCGTATGGACCTGATCACGCGAAACAAGCGGACATTTTCCACCGGTTTGTGCTGCCGATTGAACCGCAAATCCCACGGAGCAATTTAGGAAGGGATTTTGTGGAAGTTAGAAGGGAAATTTGAATGTAGGGATTGTTTAGAGATTTCCTTCTGAATTGTATGTATTAAATAGTTTGTTTTCCTAGGGTTAGGGCATCTTGAATTTGGCTGAAATTTGAGATCTCCTAGATTTAGGTTTTTCTTTGGACTCTAGTGACGTCTAGAGATTTGAAGAGATCGATCCTCCTCTCGAATAGAGGATCAATTGTATCTTGGTATTTTCCGCTTCCTTTTCAACAAATAATACAAATTATCTACGGTTTTCGTAGTTTTGTGTGGATTTTTGTGGAGAAATCTCGTTGTTTTCCGAAGATTGATAGGAAAAACTTGAGATCTACAAGTGTTTCCAATCAATTTCATTCCAATCACCATTGGTTGTGGGCGAACTTCTAGTTCCAGCAATGGTCTTGCACCTCTTTTTCATTTGCTCTAACCAAAAACCCTTGTTGTTTACAACATAGCTAAACCTAGAAAAACTTACAACCCAGATAAAAGTGGAGGGTTGCGTAAGGTAGTCAACAACCAGCATAAAATTTGTCGAATAATAATGACATGAATCCTTTAAGAAATTGTATTAAACTGCTATAGCACCCAAGTAGTTTTAAAATTGTGCATGAAAAACCTTACTCATAAATTCAATATAGATTGTTGACCTCTAAATCCCAAAGTAAGACAGCCAACAATGGAAGGGTTTCCAACTTGGGCTTCTATCCCAAGAAGGGTTCCCATGTCAATGCCCTTGAAAAAGATAATGGTCAAGGAAGGTCCCGAGATGTGTCATAGATCGTTTCCCTTCTATAACAAATTAACAATTTCAACAATTCTACCAAATAGAGGTCTAACAACAAAAGTCAGTTTGGTGAAATGTTGATAAAGCCCAAATCAAAGCCGATAAAGGTCAATCAACTGAAAGTCAACATGGTGAAACAATGATTAGCTCACCTCATAAAGGTTGGATAACTCTAAGTCAACCCGATAAAACATCAATCAGCCCAACTTCTACCCATTTAAGGTCAGTACAAACTTGATCTGATCAAATACCAATTAACCAAATTCGAATTGGTAATGACCATTAGACTCAAATCCAACCTAGTATAACATCAGTTAGCTCAATTCTACAAGGCCGGCCAACTGAGGTTCATTTCCTTTAGAAGGAAGATGATTCTATGCATTGATTACCTAATATTTGGAATTTTCCTTCTAAAGTGCAGCAGGGCAGTAATTCCGACTATCCAATTGAGGTTAAAATTTATAAAAGCCAATGGAAGAGAGCTTAATTTCCACACTCCCCCTCAATTAGGAATATATATTGATTGTACCTAGCATGAAAAATAAGAGCGTATTAAAATTAATTGAAAGCTTTAGCTAGGATATCTACTGTTTGAGATTTGGTGGGCCATAGATAAATTTAATAATGTCTTTTTCAATTTCTTCATTTATGAAGTATTGATCAATCTTGATAAACTTAGTTTAATCATGATGGATAAAATTTTTAATAAAGTTAATTGTAGCTTGGTTATCATACATCATTATCAATGGCTATCTAATGCGATCTTTAGAAGTTCCAAAAATCTTTTGAGCTATATTCATTCAAAAATTCAACTTCAACCTTACTTACTAGCAACAACTACTTACTTCTAACTTCTCCCAGCGACAAGATTTCCCATGCAAATGAACAGTAGTTAGAAGTGGAGTTGTGATCAAATATAGAGCCAACCACATCAACATTAGAGAATTTTTATACTCCAATCTTCTCGTTTCTTAAAGAATAGACATATTCATGAAGAAATTTTAAGATATTTTAGCATCATGTAGACTGCATCGACTAAAAACACTAGCAATCCTGCATTTAGCATCATGTAGACTGCATCGACTAAAAACACCTTTCATTGCCCAAATGAGAAGTAACCTTCGGCCCTAATTTTATTGATAGGATCAATAAAGGTGTTGGAAGGATTGCATCCTATCACACTTGTATCTTTTATTAGATCTATAGTTTATAATTATTGAGAGAGCTATGTCTTCCTTCGATCTTCGCAACCTTTCATATCAAAAAATATTTTAAGGCCCCGAGATCTTTAATTTCAAATTCATTTGCTAAGATCACTTTTAGTCTATTGATTTCTCTTTCATTTTTACCGGTTGATACAATGTCATCAATATAGATAATCAAAGCGGTGATTTCACTTGCCGATGATTTCCAGGTTGGACTGGCCTGGACCGGTTCAGCAGTCCTCCTTTGGGCCAGCCTAACACAATCCTTACAGAGTGCTTCTTCAAATAGGGATATATTTTGTGAAATAGGAAAATATCTCAGATCATGTGATATGATATCTCTCAATCTACAATTCATGATCAGGTCTTTTCAATTTTTAAATTAAATGCATTCATGACCATAAATTTTTTAGTAGTTGACCTGATGTTGATATCAGGTGCCTCATGGCCATACTAGAGTTCCTTAAGCACTTTTTTTAGCATCCTAATTTGCTTTTGATTAAATGATGGTAATGTGGAGGAAGGTGGTGATTTCTAAGAGTCAACATTGGTAAAAAGAAATCATAACCTCATTTCCTAGCATCCACCTAGCTGGCTTCCCGTAAAACTTCCACCAAGTTTCTTTATCATGTTCGGAATTTCAACAGTGATCACACGAAGAATTTTTTACTTTCTAAGAAATTTTCGTCGGATGTACACATTCTTTGAAATGCAAGTGTAAATCTTTGAGGGCAATTAGAGTGCCTTAGTCTCCCACTATAATCTTTTTGCAATTTTTCTCTCTTTAGTAGAGAACATGATTAGGGGTGTCAATATTTGACACGAAACGACAACCCGACCCGGAAAATGCGGGTTGGACCCGACCCGTTTATAAACGGGTCGGGTCCGTGTTTGCAGATTCGACCCATTTGATAAAACGGGTCGGGTCGGGTTGACCCAGCGGGTTGCAGGGTCAACCCGAAAACCCGTTTAATTTTAAAAAAAATTGAATTTCCCGCTGCTCCCGCCCGCTGCCCGCCGCGCTGCCCCAGCCCGC